TGGTCATCTAGTCTTGTAATTTATACACCACTGACATATGACACAACCAAGAGGAATCTGGAATATGTTTTCCCTTTCCTGGGTAATCTCCTTTCTAATTAGACAGAGGTGCTGATAAAGCTTCATTTTCCAGTCAACCAACTGGAGACAGAGAGGTGACATATGAAGCTGTAAACCTACTTAGCTATGTGGTGTGGAAAATGCATGGATCAAAAACATCCCCTAGCATTTCTTGCCATCTTGAGTAAGGGCAGGTAATTCATGTAGCATTTTCTTCCTGGAATCCATCTGCCCTTAGCTCAGGCATGGAGACACAAGGGCGTGCTTAGCTGTGAAGACCCCTCCTTCCCTTGTGAAGACTCCTGTGATATATGACATCATTTGCCCAGGCCTGGAAACCAAAAAGTAGCTTACGAAATGTAAAAAACAGTTTAAATCAAGTAAATATGATATACTTTTCTATCAATTTACTAATGCTAGCACCGTAAGGATTATAGATAGTCAGTGTTGATTGAGAGAGTGAACTTCTGCTTTAATAGTTACAAATATTTCAATCAAATATGCAAACATTGATTATAAAAAGTTTAAAGAAAACTCAACAATGTCATAAATATTTGTTTTTACTACCTGTATGTGTGATCCAAAAGCAAATTTTTAATTTCTTCTGTTCTTGGTCTCAATGAAGATATAATCCTGACTTCAAGCCAGTGAAGTAACTCATCCATTTTTTATAGTAGCTGCAGAGGAACAAGCAACACAAAATGTAGTAAAACCTACATATGGCAGTTACACACATGAACAGGTAGCAAGAGACCTGTGATGATTTATTAAAGAGATTATGATTTGTAAAAATGTAATGATTTATGTCCTTGATCATTGAACAGTTGCTACACTATCCAAAGTGTCAGTATCAGTGGATCCATCATTTCAACCAGTGTTGTTTAAAATGGGGGATCCACTGATACTACCATCTTGGAGACAGAGCATGAGAAAGCAAAAGAAATAGGGGGAGATTCACTAAAACTGGTGCACTCAAAATCTTGGTCAGTTGTGCATGATAGCCAATCAGCTTCTAACTTCAGCTTGTTTAATTAAGTTTTGCCAATAAAACCTGGAAGCTGATTGGTTTCTCTGCAGAGCTGCACCAGATTTTGTACTCTCCATTTTTAGTACATAACCCCCATTATGTAACTACAAGTCCCAACACACTGGGCCTTGAGGCATTCCACAAGAGATTAATCTTTCTGTGGGAACAATGAACACAATGATGATGAAGTGAAGCAGGCTGTCCTAGGATTGTTCAGACATATTGAAAATTCTATGCCGAAGCTTTCCAGGCATTAGTTAAACGCTGGGATAAGTGTATAACCCTCTGTTCACATCAAGCCTGACTTTGAAATTGTGCAACTTACAGTTTAGTCGCACGACTTCAAAGTTGGGGGACCCACCGATTTCAGGTGCGATTTGCAAGACATCTGACACAGATGTCTATGCAAATCGCACCAAATGGAGCGCATGTACTACTTTTGAAATTGGTGCGGCCAAATCGGAAATGCACCAATATGACCTCTCTAATTGCACACAATAGGGTGTGACTTGGCATGTGATTTGCAAGTCGCAGGGTATGCAAATCGCATGCCAAGTCGCATCCAGTGTGAACCAGGGCTAAATGTAGCAGGGGAGAATGTCAAAAAATAAATGCAGTTTCCACTCCTTGAAAATTGTTCATTTGTTATATAAACTCAAATGTCCCTATTTGACTTGAACTCTCCTCGTATATATTTTATATGATCTTGTACACAGTCCCACTTCATTCAGAAAACACCCCTGTCACTGCGGGAGAGTGAAGTTTTCCTGCAGGGCTGCTGTTCTTGCTGTCCACCTCCAGACAAAGCAAGAGAATGCAAAAGAATAGTATACTATTGATCCTAGTATTGGCACGCACACAGGGGGTATTTAGAGAAAACCTATCACAGCTAGTACTATAATATTTATATCCAGGGCTTTTTCAGGTGGAACACAGTTCTGGCTCCTCCAGCACTGAATGTATGTAATGGTAAGGGGTGCTGGGATGTGCTGGAGGGTCTATTGATGCTGGCTACCGGGGGATATATTGTCACTGGAGGGGATCTATTTTTGCATGGTGGTCTATTGTTGCTGGAGAGGGATCTATTGTTCCTTGGAGGTCAATCGCTGTTGAAAAGAATCTACTGTTCTGGAAAGATCTGTTGTTGCTGGGATGGTATTTTGTTGCGGGGGTCCATTGTTGCTGGGGGTAACTACTGTTGCTTGGGGGGGGGGGGCTATTGTTGCTGGCAGCAGGGGATCTATTTTACTGCTTTTCTTGTAATCATTAACAAATTCCAATCAAAAATGATACTTGGCTCTGTATTCACTAAAAGCAGAAGTACTGGGAGGTAGGTAGGGGTAGGAACCAAGGGACAGGGCTCGGAGGTTGGTAGGGGGCAGAAAACAGGGGGAGACACAGAAGGGGGAAGTTTTTGCATCTATTCTCTGAGAAAAAAAATCCCTGTTTATATCAGACATGTAACTAGGATAGAGAAAACAACTTAGATTATAAGACTGCAATTCTTGTTAGAGATTCCCTCCTCTACTGCTTAGAAGCAGCACCAATATAACATCTGCCCCTGACCACTTGTTTTGTATGTCTGTGTTTCAGGTAAGGGCTCATTCACACCATGTGCAGTGACCTGCATTTTTCTGCACTCGATGAACGCAGGTCATTGCAGGGGCATATGGAAGAAAAATATATTAGAAATATATTTTAAAAATATTCTTCCCAAATATATTGACATATATTTGAAACACTACAATTTTGGCCATATTCAATATATTTCAAAATATATTGCAATAACTATATATATATATATATATATATATATATATATATATATATATACTGCATGCTGAAATGCGTTTTTATTACAAAATACTGTATATGAAAAATATTTGTAAAAATACATTTCAAATATACTGTATGTCTTTAAAAATACAAATCTCCATTTTAAGAATGCATTTACAAATATATGTAAAATATATGTTAAAATTACTTTTTTATATGTTAAAAAAAATATTTAAAAAAAATTTTTTTTTTAAATATATTCTTCAGATTTTTTTTAACATATAAAAAAGTAATTTTAACATATATTTTTACCTATATTTGTAAATGCATTCCAAAAATGTAGATTTGTATTTTTAAAGACATACAGTATATTTGAAATGTATTTTTAAAAATATGTTTCATATATTTTGTAAAAAAAAAACGTATTTCAACATACAGTATATATATATATATATATATATATATATATTTTTTTTTTTTTATATATTGAATATGAACAAAATTGTAGTATTTTAAAAATATATTTCAATATAATTTGGGAAGAATATATTTCAAATATATTTTTCTTCCATGTGGGCATAGAAAACAATGGTTTTCTATGTGCCTCATTTGCAACACAATGATGTGTGAGGGTCCATTCGCACCAGCCACTATGTTACAATGCAGCAGCTGGTGTGTGTTGCAATGCCATCAGTGCTGATGAGTTGATTCTGGCGCATTGCACTCTTCCGGGTTTTCTTTTGTCACACAGTGGCATTTCATGAAACAGCATGCGCTGAAAAAAAGTACTGCGTGCAGTGTTTTTTTTTCTTTTGTGCACATCACCTCAATTTAGTGGTATGAACTGGCCACACCAGAGACAAGCCAGTCCCACTGCTCTTGGTATGAATCTACCCTAAAGCTGGCCATAGATAGGTAGAAAAAATTAAAAAAATCATTTGAAATGATCTGTCATTCAACTTTCTAAATGTAAGCGTGCTAATTTCAGTTCTTGAAATGCAAAGATTTATAGCAGAAAAATTAACTAGGATGTAGTGGAGAAGAGTAGTAGAATTGATTGAGAATAACCCGAAAAATCGTACTGCGTATGAGCATGTGAAATCGATCGACAAAAAATGACCTTTTATTCTGTAATCAAACAACAATATGTCGCCAATTGGAGGAAAAAATTTGTATCAGTGATGGCATAATTGCATGTTCATCATTCAACAGATCAAATGCAAATAAATTTTTGAGCAATTTTCTACTTATCTATGTCCAGTTTAAGGCCCTATTCACACCTGAGCAATACTGACGGGTTGGGATTTTCATGCTTTTTTTGCATTTTTGTGGCGGTTTTTTAATTTTTGAATGGACCTCCCTCCGCTCCAAAAACACACCAAAGAACTTCATGTAGCAAGGTTTTGCACTAAGCCAGGCACATTTTTTAATCCGCGGTTTGACGTCATTTTCGTGCCTTTTGTCGCAGGACATTGACAGCAAAATCACACATTTTGGGGTGCCATTAAGAAAGAATGGCACCCAAACATGCATTACACGTTTTACCATGGATCTATGGCAATTTTAAACCATGAGTATAATGTCAGCAATTCTGCCGATGATTCCAGTTTGCTAAATGTGAACTGGGCCTAGAGCAATGCAGTGTGTTAAAAGGAAACCTGTCTGCATGTTAATACAGCTCAACAAAAGGCTTGTAAACACACCAAAGTAAAGATATGATTAACTACTTGCCGACCGCAGATAGCCGAATGACGGCAACACTGCGGCCGGCCAGTTCTGGGTGGGCGTCATATGATGTCCTCCCAGAACGCGCTCTCCGGGCGATCTCCGTGATTGCTGTGTCCTACAGACACAGCTAATCACGTGTTGTGGTAAAAGGCCAATCACAGCGGCCTTTTACCACGCGATCAGCCATGTCCAATGACACGCTGATCACCGGGAAATGCAATTGCCGGTTCTCGGCTGCACTTTCCTCACGCTGTCAGATTGTAAGGAAAGTACTGCCAAGAACCGGCAGTTGTTAGAGCGGGGATCGGCACCGATCATCAGGGCACTGATGATCAGTGCCCTGATGACCGGTGCCCAGCAGTGCCAACCACAAGTTCCGCCCACCTGTGCCCAGCAGTGCGCCCACTAGCTCCGCCCACCTGTGCCCAGCAGTGCACCCACCTGTGCCACCCAGCAGTGTCACACATCTGTGCCCAGACTTTTTGAAGTGCCATCTACCTGTGCCCAGCAGTGCCACCCACCTGTGCCCACCCACCTGTGCCCACTAGTGCCACCTACGTGTGCCCACCATTGCAGCCCAGCAGTGCTGCCAGTCAGTGCCACCAGTCAGTGCCCAGCAGTTGTGCCAGTCAGTGCCCAGCAGGGATGCCAGTCAGTGCCACCTATCAGTGCTGTCTATCAGTACCCATCATCATTGTCGCCTCTCAGTGCCGCCTATCCGTGACACCTCATTAGTGCTGCCTATCAGTGCCGCCTATCCGTGACACCTCATTAGTGCTGCCTATCAGTGCCACCTCATTAGTGCTGCCTATCAGTGCCCTTCAGTGCTGCCTATCAGTGTCCATCAGTGCCGCCTATCAGTGCCAGTGCCCATCAGAGCTGCCTCATCAACGCACATCAGTGAAGGAGAAAAATTACCTGTTTGAAAAATTTTATAATAGAAACAAAGAAACTTTTTTTTTTTTATTTCTTTGCAATTTTTTGGTTTATAGCGCAAAAAGTAAAGCGCCCAGCGGCAATTAAAAACCACCAAAAGAAAGCTCTATTTGTGAGAAAAAAATGATAAACATTTCATATGGGTACAATCTTGCATGACCGCACAATTGTCAATCAAAGTGCGACAGCGCTGAAAGCTGAAAATTGGCCTGGTAAAGAAGGGGGTATAAGTGCCCTGTAGGCTAGTGGTTAACAGCTTCCCATCCGCCATATAGCAGAAATACTGCTACAGGGTGGCATTGGTGCGCAAAATCACATATATAGTATATACGTGATTTTGCATTTCCGAGAAGGGGGCGTGCGAAGAGCAGCCGCGGCTGTCAATCACCAGGTCCCGGCTGGTGATTACTCATCAGTGCCCGGTGATTGCCGAGCATCTCCGGTAGGGGGGGGGGGGACTGTTTGTAAACAAAACAGTTCTCCTTCCTACCAGCTTGTGCACACTGCTTACAGTGCAGCACACAGACACAGCCCAAAGAAAAACATCACACAGCACACAGTTAACCTTTTGATCGTCTCACATGTTAACCCCTTCCTGCCCAGTGCCATTACTACAGTGTCAGTACTTTTTATTAACACTGATCACTGTATTGGTGTCACTGGGAATGTCGGGGACACCAAGTCAGTTCCCCCCAGTGTCAGAATTCCACCGCAGTCCCGCAGTCCCACTATAAGTCGCCGATCGCTGCCATTACTAGTGAAAAAAAAATCCCAGTATATATACCGCCATTTGTAAATGCTATACGTTCATGTAAACCAATTAATTTACACATATTTGGATATTTTTTAGCAAAGACATGTAGCAGAATACATTTTGGACTAAATTTATGATGAAATTAGATTTTTTTTATTTTTTTTAGTGGACATGTTTAATAGCAAAAAGATCTAAAACATTGGGGTTTTTTCTCCAAATTGTTGGGTTTTTTTTTATAGCACAAAAAATAAAAAAACACACCAGGGAGCAAATACCACCGAACGAAAGCTCAATTCATGGGAAAAAAGGACTTAAATTTCATTTGGGTGCAACATTGCATGGCCGCGCAACTGTCAGTTAATGTAACGCAGCGCCGTAACGCAAAAAATGGCCTGGTCAGGAAGGGGGGTAAATCCTCTGGAGGGCAAGTGGTTAATAAACTTTTGTTAGGCCCCTTTCACACGGGCATTCCATATATCCATTTTTCATCTGTCCATTTACAGATGAAAAATGGACACCCATGTATTTCTGTGTACTAGTGGATGTAAATGGATGATCATGTCTGTATCCATTAACATCCGTTTTTTTTGAACGGAAGAAAACCCTATTTTTATTCCGTAAAAAAAACCCGGAACGGACAAAAAAAACGGATGTAAACAAATGTAAATCGATCTAAACGGACGAAAAATGGATGTAAATTGATCTAAACAGATGAAAACCAGATGTAAATGGATCTAAACAGATGAAAAAGGGATGTAAAACGTCTGAAAATGGATGTAAATGGATCTAAACGGATGGAAATTGGATGTAAATGGATCTAAACAGATGACAAAGGGATGTAAATGGATGAAAACGGATGTATATGGATCTAAAAGGATGAAAACCGGATTCAAAATGGATCTAAACAGATGAAAAAAGGATATAAATGGATGAAAACGGATGTAAATAGATCTAAACAGATGAAAAAGGGATGTAAATGGATGAAAACAGATGAAAATGGATCTAAACGGATGAAAACCAGATGTAAATAGATCTAAACAGATGAAAAAGGGGTGTAAACGGATGAAAACGGATATAAATGGATCTGAACAGATAAAAAAGGGATGTAAATGGCTGAAAACGGATGTAAATGGATCTAAACGGATGAAAACCAGATGTAAATAGATCTAAACAGATGAAAAAGGGATGTAAACGGATGAAAACGGATATAAATGGATCTGAACGGACAAAAACCGGATGTAAATAGTTCTAAACAGATGAAAAAAGGATGTAAATGGATGAAAACGGATGTAAATAGATCTAAATGATTGAAAAAACAGATGTAAATGGATCTAAACAGATGAAAAACGGATGGAAATGGATGGAAACGGATGAAAAAAGGATCAAAAAACTGATGTAAACTGATAAAAAAAATGATGTACACTAATTCGCGTTTTTTCTTAGAAAAAAACGTGACTGAACCAATGAAAAAAAAAACGGAACGCCCGTGTGAAAAGACCCTTAGGCCTCATTCACATGCTCTTAGATATGTGGCAGAATCAGACATTTTAGCTGTGTGATTTTGTTTTTTTTGTTCCCATACCGACCGCCAATGTGCTAGGCAAAACAATGGCAGGTGGACAGGACAGTATACACCTATTAGCATTGCATCAAGAATTTTAAAGCATGTCCTAGACTTTGCCTCAAATTACAAGTAACAGGTTTGCTGCTTGTTGTATACAACAAATGAACATGGCCTTGCCTGTGAAATAAAGAAACAATGATGACTCTATGTAATACTGTTCTGTGAAACCATTCAAAGGTAGGTTTTGTAATCTGATGACTAGCTATGGTAATAGGGAGCTGTTATGGTTAACAATAGTTAGTTCATTGTCTATGAAAGGGTGATGAGCTGTGCACACCAATGTTTTTTTCAGTTAACTCCAACTCTGTTCAATAGTGTGCTGCTAATACACTGCCTGCCATGCCTAGAGGCTGTTTAGGACTGCTTGTTATGGTAACAATGTGGAGAATTCAGCATCCACCTGTGATCCTACAACCAGGGAAGCCTTACATTTATATTTATGAATCTCAGCATATGAGTGCTACTGTACAGATTTATAGAATTTCACTTGAAGCATCACACCTCATTTTGTTGATGGGACTTTCTTATATGCAGAATTCATTAAAACTGACTTTTCTGAAACCATGGTAGCAGAAGATGAATTCTCAATGGTTGCTAGGGGTTTAAGCTGCCCAAGGTTGGATCGAAATTCAGCCAGGAGCAGACAAATTTCAATCCATCTGTGGCCTTTCCCATCCATGAGAAGTTGATCTAACAATCAACTTCTCATGAACGGACTTGATGGAAAATTTTGCTTAGATTAGGACATGCAGCCAATCAGCTGCAGCGCTGATCGGTTTGTTCTGAGAGCGGAGGAGTCCTGCTGTTATAATACAGTAGCACAGTGAGGAAGCTCTGTTTTTTGGAGCGAGACATGTAGAGTTTATTTTTTTCTTTTCTTTGGGACTTTCTTTGGGAGCACCTTTTGAATGCACATGGTATTTACTCCCCCCCACTCCTTCCTTTTTTTGGAGTCGTCTGTAGTGCACTTTATAGTACATCATTTGCATTCTTCAAGATAGTGAGGTATTTTTGACTGGATATGTTGATATATGGGGCTTGTCCATTAGAGGCTGATATTAAGGCCTGTGGATGAATGTACCCGTATTACATATCTGCAGTAAGACAGATTATATATATACTATCCAATTAGTTCTGTCCATGGGGTAACTTCCCAACCACCCTAAGCATAAATACTGCCACAGGGCGGCATGTATATATATATACATGATTTTGCATTTCCTGGTAGGGGACGTGCTCAAAGCGTGTGTGAGCCCTACCCGCACAGCCATTCGAGGCCACGGCTGTCAATCACCGGGTCCCAGCCGGTGATTACTCGCCAGTGCTCGGTGATTACTGAAGCTCTCTGATGAGGAGGAGGACTGTTCTGTGTGCCTGTCCCTCCCTGTCGGCTCAGGCACACTGCTTTGGATGGCTGAGCGCTTGGCACCAATGACAGCGCAGGGCGGGATATTTAAATGGCCCTGAGCTGTCATTCAGTGCCTTCTGGTCTCCTTGTATCCTGTATCCTGTGAACCTGTGAATAAGTGAGTTGCTGACCCGGATTGTGCCCTGACCTTGCTGTTTTCTCTTGTCCTGACCCTTGCTTGCCTGACCTCTCTCCTGGATGCCCCCTATTGGACCTGACCTGCTGTTGTTGACCTGGCGTGTGACCCGACTACTCTCTGCCCGCTGCTTTGTACCGCACCGTCCCCATAGTTACCGACCCGGCCTGCCTGACCTCGCACTCGCTCAGCCATCCATCCATCCCGTCGGGATCTCCCAGCCTTCTCACATTAGGCTCTTCCTCTGCAGGAGCCCCTGGCGGATACCCCTACCAGTGGTGAGTGTGCCCAGTAACTGCAACCTGGTCTCAGAGCGCTACAAGTCCATCCCCACCATCAGGGGCCCTGGTGAACAAGTGCTCTGGGACTTAGATTCTGCACGCTGGAAGCACCTCACCGGTGGGTTGCTAGAGGTACCGCTGGGTGGTCCCTTACAGTTACATAGCTAATCTACCTGAAAAAAGACAAACGTCCATCCAGTTCAACCATAAAAAAAAAACTTATAATCCTATACCCACACTTAATCCAGAGGAAGGCAAAAAACCCAGCAAAGCATGAGCCAATTTGCTCCTGCAGGGGAAAAAGTTCCTTCCTGATCAACTTTACAATCAGATATTCCCTGGATCAACTTTACCTATAAATAGTAACCAGTTATATTCTGTGTATCTAGAAAAGAATCCAGGTCTTTTTTAAAGCAATCCACTGAGCTGGCCAGAACCAAATCTTGAGGGAGTCTATTCCACATTTTCACAGCTCTCACTGTGAAGAAACCTTTCCGCGTTTGGAGATTAAATTTCTTTTCCTCCAGACGTAAAGAGTACCCCCTTGTCCTATGTGATGACCTCAGTGTGAATAACTCTACAGTGATGAACCACTGATGTATTTATACATGTTGATCATATCCCC